AGGAACTCTGTCGCAAGCATTTTCCGTGGCTCCTCAATCGAAGTTAATGAAGAAGTTGACAGTGAAAAAATAAGGAAGTACATGTACATGAAATGAAATAAAGTGCACGATCATGAGTGCGTTTTTGGCTTCAGGAGAAGGGAGGTTAACCTGTAAGTCTTCAATTTTTGAATTTACTAAGCGTGTTCTATAGCTCAGGTTGAAGACCGTCCAACTGTGATCTGTAATTTGCGTCATATTTTAGGATTTAGAAACTTGGAATAGTGATCAAACCCAACTAAATTTACAATCAGTTCTTGTGATATCGAGATTGGTTTAGATTCTCTACAGAAGTACATGGTCAACAGGCTTCTTGGGTTGTCCTTAAGCAATCTCTACAGCGCACCATAAAGTTCAACTGTCTTTCTCTGTAGGCCATCGAGCACACGTTTCACCGGCGCAGTATGCTGATAGCAGAAAGTGTTAATCACATGATCCAGCATCTGACGTTCATGGCATTAGCTTGTATTGACACCGCTAAGGTACGCGAAGTGTACATGTGGCTGCTGCACTCACTTTCAGTGCGGCCAATTTTGCGCCTGAAAGTGATTCATGTCTTAAAGTGTATAGGACAAGAATTATTTTTACCCGGTGTTTGATTCTTTGAAACATGAACTAAACGAAAACTGGTTTAGATATGACCAAAAGAAATTGCCTTTTGCCGCCTGAAATTCACCCATTTTGCTTAAAGACGTTCTCTTAATGGGGAGAAGTCGAACAATCATTTTGAAAGATGTCTTTTGTCTGCAAGGAGTTTAGTTAAGGTCTAAACTTTTTCAACATACAATCAAACGCATTTGTACCGAGATTGCAGTATTTCTATTTTGCAGAAACGTATTGCAGCCGACAAGAAATACACAGACAAACGACTTGTGAGTTTACATCTTACAATTATCTTTTTGCTTTGGAACTCGAAGACAAGTTTAGCTCAAAGCGAGACTCTTCCCTGATACTGGAATTAAAATATGTTTTCCCTCTTGATAACTTCGAACGCGCGAAAAACGCTCATTAAATTCTTCAATGTAGAGTCAAAAGCCGTTTACTCTTGCTGCTTTTATTCTTCTCCCTGTAACAAATCTATGTAATTCAACGCAAGATATCTATTTAAAGAACGTATCCGTATAGTGATCCAAGTAGCCTCGATGATCGGTTGTCAATCACGTTTGAATTTTTGCTGCGTAACTAATGAACAGTCAAACAGTTCACGGATCTTCTTCCATTAAAGACTAGAATCAATACATTACAGAGACGTGTATTATGTAAGGATGCTATCACAGACTAAACCTCGGGCGTCTTTACAGGGTGAAGCTTTTTATCAGTCGAACCAGAAAGTGCGATGTAAAGCATAAACTTAAAGTTCGTTGAGAAAGATCTCCGTAATGAAAAATTGATTTAATGTCGAAAATCGGATTTTCTCGACAAATTACTTTTTTTATGCTTGGGCACGCAATCAATTTTTTGTTTCTGTTTTCAAAGTGATTCAAAAAAATGTTCTTTACTTCAGGACGTATTGGCAGCGCTTGTCTTGGTGCAGAATGCTCTCAATGGTCCAGGTACTTTGATTCACATGTAATTTCGCCTACGATTTCATACAGGAAACAGTTTGTGAGAATCGATACACATGTCAGGCGAAGGGTGTTTTGTCTTGATAATTGACCAAGTTATCTTAAACTATGTAAAAAGAGATGTACAGGAGCTGGAACGGAGAACAAATAATCAGATCCAGTTAGTTTACTCTTCCGAGTGTTTGATAAGTGGTGGCAATAAGTTGTGCAGTAGAAGCTCTCAGAATTAACCTCAGGGAGGTGTGCACCGTCATTAGCGCCAGATCCCCGGCAAACCTTTCCCGACTCGTCTCAATCTTCCCGCGGGTGGAGAACTGCGCGCTAATAATGAGGGCCTGGACACAGGCTAGCGGATTTTAAACGTACAAGCTGCGCCAATGTATTGTCGTCAGTAGAGAGATTGAGCTGTCGTCAGAACAGTAGGTTACCCTGTTTCTAGTCTTCTCGGAGAGGGACGAATAAATGGAGGTCCCGTCTCCTACAGGGTTAGGGGTAGGAGACGTTAATTTCCCACACACGAGATTACTGTGTGATGGATGTCCCCCCCTGGGGTGGGAATGGGTGGGATTTAATGGGTGGACTACTCGCATGGATCGCATGTTCCGTTCTAGTCCTGCCCTACTGCGGTAATGCAGTAAAATATGGTGAGATTAATTTCCATTGCTTTGCTTTTCTTCAGCCACAAAGGAGCGTAGACTTGTCGCCATGTTAGGCCTTCATGTAGGCGTCCAGATGGTGAGTTTTTCCATTATTTGGTCTAAAATCGTTTAGCGTCTAGTTGTTGATTGAGAATTTAACAGTGACATTCTGTCCGTCAAAAAGTGCACAGGGTAGAGAATTTAAGAGTGACAGTCTGAGTCATAAATGTACAGATAGAAAATTTGCCAGAGACAATCTGTGCGTCAAAATGTACCGATCGTCAATACTGTATAAAGTCCTTTTTTTTTTTTTTTACTTTGATTACGCAGAAATCTTTCAGAGATGACGAGATGGCCAGTCTAACCAGTGTAATGAAACGAATAAACCTGGTCAGTGATCTGAGAGCAAGAGTCAGAAAGGCGTGTGACTGTGGATTTCTTCACTGGCACAGGGCAAGTTACTTGTTTTCTTAATTTTTTAGCTTTTCCTGGCTTGTTCCAGGCTTTTTGATCGTCAAACGAGGCGCGATGGTAAACGGTGCGATAGAAACGCAGGAGGGGATGAGGGAGACAGGTTTGGGCTTATTCACTCGCTTGTTCTATTGTTGGGTTTATCGTTAGCTAAATGGTGAGTTGTGATTCGGTTCATCGGTCCGTCGGTTCATCGGATCGTCCGTTCGTCGGCTCATCGGTTCGTTCGTTTGTTGGTTCCTCGGCTCGTCTGTTTGTCTACTAGTTGATTGTGGGCTCGTCGGTGCCTTAGGTCGTCGGCTGTTTACGTGTCGTTGGTTGGTTAATCGGCTGTTTACGTGTAGTTCATTGGTTTCTCCCCCCTATACGTGCGAATTCAAGGCTTTTGGTTTTACAGTTTAATGGTTACCTGCCTCTGTCCCAGTCCTTTCCCTCACCGAACAATCAGTCGAATTGGGTTTGTCAGTGCATTACCAGTGCTTGTCATTTGGAACTCCTAAATGTAATCGGACAAAATGGATGATCTCTTTTTATCTTTCTGTTGTAGGTTGTCTTTCCAACGTACTTCACAGACTTGTATGAAAGTGCGACAGATGTGCATCGAATTCATGTAAGAGAAAGAATCCTGTGGCAATTAGCTCTCTAAGTTTCCCTCTCCACACGAGAAAAGATTTGCCTTATCGGCCAATTATGAGGTCGATGACGGTGCATCACACGTTTTTGCGTTTATAAGGTTGAATTGTGAAACTCGACTTTTTGTTTGATCTGCGTGTTGACAGCCTTCAAAACTTGCGTTTGCAGTGTTTTTGACCGTCTTTGCTTAACAAAAACTGCTAGAAAACTATTTTTGTCAAGAAAAAAACAGAGTAGAGAATTGGTTTCAGTCAACTTGGCGCCGCGTGCCTCGTTGGGTATTTACCATTTCATATCTAACGCGAGCACATGGAATAATTCTCACATATCCTTAATATCGCAGACTTCCTTGGTTTCTTTCAGTACATGATTAGCGCGCTGGGAGACTGTGTCCCAGTCCTTCAACGAGTGAAACACGAACCAACACCGCAAGTCATGCTGGAAGTGTTTGAGAAAGAAATTGGTGACACACTACATGAAGTGAGTATGATGTATTAAAGAGCATTGCCTCGTGGTTTCTTTTGTCTGTTGGTCGGTGTCTCGTTCTAGATGCGTAAATATGCTTGTTTTGAAGTTCTATTAAGCTTTATTTCAACAGCAACAACAACAACAATAAAAATAGATACGTGATAATGTGTTGAAATTGGAAGAATCCTCAAGAAGCGCCACAGCACCATTCTAGGAGGAAACTTCAACCTATCTATAGACCTACTAATATACACACATTAAAAAAAAAAAAAAAATCAAAAATGTATATACAGAAATTCAAAGAGTTAAAAATGTAGAAACCTTCAACTTAAAATCTGCCATGGATGATGCTTCTTGATTATCAAGTGGGAGCCTATTCTTCTCATAAAGCTAAATTTAAGTAAATTAGTCTAAGAAAAGCTGGTTGAAAGGTTTGGAGTATCCATACTTCTCAATGTCTTCAAAATGACGTCTTACCAGTGAACACATTGCTTTGCCCCCCTGTACTCTCAATAGTTCCTGCTCTGAGTCAGCGTGACAGCAAACTAGCTTGACCTTGCGTGACATTTTTCAGGGGTATTATAGTAAAGTCTGTTTTGGTAAAATCGGGACATTAAGGTAGTGTGACACGGTCCCTTCGGCAAGCTCTGTATCTTTGTTGTTTTCTTTGTCTAGAACTTGCTTCAACCACTGTGCCGTGACATTGAAACAGATCTACGACTTCACATCCATCAGCATCTGCAGTTAGATGACAGAAATCCCTTCAAGGTTTGTTTCTTGGCTATGTGGTTACGTAGCTGATTTCTTCTTTCTCTATTTATCTGTTCTTATCTTGGATATTGTATGGTGCTCCCAATTCAATTTAGAATTTTTAATTTTTCTTTCGTTCAGGTTGGAATGAGAGACCTTTCTCAGTTTTTGAAAATGAGGCCAGTCAGATTTTTCCATCAGTTCATCAACATTAAACGTAAGTACTTTTAAACCTTGCTATACCGTGTTTCAGCCTTTGTAATCATTTGGTGGAAAAGTAACAAGAATTTTTTGGATGTGGTTCAATTTATTATGTTGTGTGAGGTGGTTCTAATTTTCAACTTGGTGAAAAACTCCAGTTTTACTCAAGAAGCTAGAGTCGCTCTTGGCTATCGCCTCGCGCGACTCTTACGCTTCTTTCGTGCTTAGCAACCTCCCGCATGCATCCATAACTCAATAGTGTACGCTGTGGTGTTTACCGTTTGTTAATTATACTTTTTTGTTTCTTTGAAAACGTGTCAGAGAACTTTGTTTTTTTTTTTCTTGTAGAACACGTGACTCATTACCTGGATACGACATTCTATAACTTGACGACAGTAGCCCTTCATGATTGGAGAACCTACGGAGAGATGAGAAACCAAGCAAAGCAAAAATATGGCTTGGAAATGACTGAAGCTCACCTTCCCAGCCAAACCCTTGAACAGGTGACTACAGAGTAGCATCAAAGACCAAATTTTTTTTGAAAGAGTTACGTCGTGGTCTGCTTTTCTTGGAAAATTTGACCCATNNNNTATCTGTTCTTATCTTGGATATTGTATGGTGCTCCCAATTCAATTTAGAATTTTTAATTTTTCTTTCGTTCAGGTTGGAATGAGAGACCTTTCTCAGTTTTTGAAAATGAGGCCAGTCAGATTTTTCCATCAGTTCATCAACATCAAACGTAAGTACTTTTAAACCTTGCTATACCGTGTTTCAGCCTTTGTAATCATTTGGTGGAAAAGTAACAAGAATTTTTTGGATGTGGTTCAATTTATTATGTTGTGTGTGGTGGTTCTAATTTTCAATTTGGTGAAAAACTCCAGTTATACTCAAGAAGCTAGAGTCGCTCTTGGCTATCGCCTCGCGCGACTCTTACGCTTCTTTCTTGCTTAGCAACCTCCCGCGTGCATCCATAACTCAATAGTGTACGCTGTGGTGTTTACCATTTGTTAATTATACTTTTTTGTTTCTTTGAAAACGTGTCGGAGAACTTTGTTTTTTTTTCTTGTAGAACACGTGACTCATTACCTGGATGCGACATTCTATAACTTGACGACAGTAGCCCTTCATGATTGGAGAACCTACGGAGAGATGAGAAACCAAGCAAAGCAAAAATATGGCCTGGAAATGACTGAAGCTCACCTTCCCAGCCAAACCCTTGAACAGGTGACTACAGAGTAGCATCAAAGACCAAATTGTTTTTGAAAGAGTTACGTCGTGGTCTGCTTTTCTTGGAAAATTTGACCCATAGTTTTTATGTCTACCTGTTCCAGTCCGTTTTGAACATATGTTTGTTTTTTCGTTCGTTTGTTCGTTCGTTGTTCATTCGTTCGTTTGTTTGTTCGTTACCTTTTGGTTGTCTAATCGTGTTTTCGTTCGATTGTTCATTCGTTTGTATGGTCGTTTCCTTACAGTTGTCGAATCGTTCTTCTGTTCGTTTGTTCGTTCGTTTGTCTGTTCGTTACCTTTTAGTTGTCTAATGGTTGGTTTGTTCGTTTGTTTTTTCGTTCCTTGGTGTTTTCGTTCGCCACCTTTCGGTTGTCTAGTCGTTCTTTCGTTACTTCGTTCGTTTGTTCGTTCGTTCGTTTGTTTTTTTTGTTTGTTCTTTTTTTCCGTTCGCCACCTTTCAATTGTCTGGTAGTTCTTTTGTTCGTTCTTTCATGTGGTTGATTAGTCGTTCGTTTGTTCTGTAGTTTTCCTTCACTCGTGACTAGATTTCTTTGTTCCTTCGTTTTAACGTTCGCTTGCTCATTCGTCCGCGCAACCCTTAATCCCTCAGCTGTTTTTTTCTAGCTGTCCAGGTTAAACTCCAATTACCCCGTATCTTTTCCTCAGGGTCTGGACGTGTTGGAAATTATGAGGAACATTCACGTGTTTGTCTCTCGGTATCTGTACAATCTCAACAACCAGGTAGGGAAATGCCTTTTTTTGCAATTCTTAACAAGAATTAATGCTTTGTAATGATACCTGAAACTCCCTGTCATTTTTCGTTTCAGATTTTCGTCGAACTTGCATCCAATAACAAACATTTGAACACCATAAATATCCGTCATATTGCAAATTCCATTCGCACACACGGCTCAGGGATCATGAACACAACCGTGAATTTCACTTATCAGTTTCTGCGCAAGAAATTCTTCATCTTTTCCCAGTTCTTGTACGACGAGCATATCAAGGCAAGACTCATCAAGGTATGTGTGATAATGTTTATGGTGTAACAGGGGGGGGAGGGGCAGGGGCAGGGAAAGGCAGGGGGGCAGGAGGATTAGTCCAACTCCGCTTTTCGGGTAGTTAAATTGTCCTTAGCGTCGCGAAAAATAGGCCATGGCAAGAGATTCAATCCCTTATACTTTGTAATCACCGTTCCATCATGATTGCGCTTGGTGAAATGAAATGTTTTATAGCACGCCCTTCACGGCCCTGTGCGCGTTTTTATTGAGAGGCATTTATGAAAAATCCCTGTATGAAGACAGTTCGCGATGGCGCGAACAGTGCGGTCTTGTATGACCCAGTCAGATGCAAAATGCAAGAAGAAAAGAAAGAAGATGGAATACTTCGTGGCCGAGTCAGGTCGGGCCGGACGGCAAAGTAATGGGCTCGAAGGTCATGACGTGGGGTCTGAGCATGTCTAGCTTTTCAGTTGTACATTACATAGTAGAAGTCTTTCTTTTTTTTTTTTTTTCGAATAGTAGATTTTTTGAACTTTAAAAGTTGTTTTTGAACAACGGCCAACTTATGCATATTACAAATGGATTAAAGTCACATTGGACACTGTGAAGATTGTACAAGAGGTGTTCGAGTTCCAAAGAACTACGCAAAGGACTTTTCAGGAAGTTAGAGTTGGGTTAGGCGCTTGGTTTGGTGAATAGTGAGACCTCCAGTCCCCCTCCCTCCCCTCCCTCACGTTTCAAAACACCCCATCACCTCTGTGATACCCATCAGTTATGCATGCAACGCCCTTCCATTATATTTACTTTGTTTATGTGCAAGGTTCTTGTTTTCTAAAGCAAGGGTGTTTGATAATAACTATGGGCCAAGATAAAATCTCATGTTTCTTTTGCAGGATATCCGCTTCTTCAAAGAGACGAAGGAGCAGTTGGATCAAAAATACCCATTTGAACGGGCCGAGAAGTTCAACAAGGGAATCAGGAAACTGGGTTTGACTCCTGAGGGTCAAACATATCTGGATCAGTTCAGAACTCTGATTAGCCAAATCGGTAAATTGTCAATTTTGTTGGTACCTTCAGAAGTGCTGCTGTGATGAAAAATTCCTCGTCTCGTTCCCTTTCGAATGCGAGATAATTTGCAACTTTCTTTTTCGCCAAGGCAGTATCAGTATGCGGACAGAAACAAGAGGACTTTTTCAACGTTGTAGTACTTAAACTGCTAGAACTGAGTGGCATTTAGATTCTCCTTTCAATATTATTAAATAGTCCTGTGAGCAAGTTATGAGAAGAAAAAATCTTATGAGGGGATGTGACTTTTTGTTCATTTGACAACAAATTCTCTCAACTGATTTTGTAAAAAAATGCATGGAAGGTAGGAGGGAGATTTATTCATGAATCTGAGTAAAGTCATTGAATAGAAAATTGATCAAGAAATTTATACCGCAATCAAAAAGATTACCCACTATTCCGTTCTGACGAGGGGCTAGCGCTTGAAACGTCAGCTGTTAGAAACTCCTCAACTCAATTGATAAAAACCAAATTACATTGAAATGCCTCTCATCGAAGCAGCACTACAGTTTCTTTCGAAATTTATAGCCTTAAACATTTCAGTAAGTCGACTGTTTTTTCCGCTACTCAAAAGTGATTTTTAAAATTCTTTATTGAAAGGTTAAAAATACGAACATTTTTATAGCTGGGGGTACCCTATATGCTACACCTTCAGTGGTACTTCTTAAACTGTCAACTCCCATGATTGACCAAGATAGAATTTCTCCTTACAATATCAATACAATATCAAGCAAACAACTGAGGAGAATAACGGCCAATAGTAATTAGGAGATTATTTGTTGATCCAATACCAAATTCTCCAAGTAACATCATAGGAATTGTATGACAGTCAGTTAGGAGAATTACCAATGCGATCTTGGTTGTGAAGGGATTTTTAAATTTTTTTTATATTTGAGGCAAAAATGTTCTTTGATAGTGTTAGGGCAGTGTTCATTACAAACGCGAGCAGAGACATGTTTTCCGACTTTTGTTTCTTATTTTTCTTCAGGGAATGCTATGGGCTATGTTCGAATGATTCGCTCTGGAGGTCTCCATTGCTGTAGCAATGCCATTAGGTGAAGCATCTCATCTCAATATTTCTTATGTTTTAATTTCTATTTTGCTATTTTGAACTCTAGCTTCCTAACGCTTTATTGCGAGTCCGACACGCTGACCACTCGGCCACGCTGCCTCCCAAATGAGGAAATGATCACCAACTAAAGAAGCTCTTGATTCTTAAACAAATTCTCCTTGTCAGCATCTTGCGAAATTTATGTTAGGGTGTAAAGGGTAAGAATATACTTATTTCAGTTGGTAGTGAAATCTCCATCACCCAAAGTATTGGAATGACACTAGACTAATTTTCTGCTGGCGTTCCAATTTCCGAAGGGGGTGGGTGGGCTATCTTTGAATCGAAATGGGGAAATCTTTGGATAGGTTATCAAAAAGATCTCGTTTCTTCTTTACGTTTTCACTCTTAATAAAATCGACGCAAAAGTCGCAAATATTAAAATCCTTTCTGTGAAATTGTGGGGTACGAATCGGTTCCTCTGTAGTAGTGCCCAGCCAAAATTCCCCCCATATCCCTGTTACGTTAATTTTACTCATACTGACAGTACAATTACTTTTTTTTGTCGTTAGCTTCTCGTCGATGTGTTCGCACCAGAATTCAGAGACAGCAAAAACATGCATCTAAGAAAATTTTATGTTATCGTGCCTCCTTTGGTAAGCTTGTCCCATGGGGCCACTTTTTGTTTTCGTTTGAATATTTTCAACTGTGTCAACAATAATCAAGGATTGTTTTTGTTTTTCTTTACTTCACCTCGTGATTGGTCCAGAAAGCGCGCAAAATTTTCTCAAGCAATCAGATTCAAATTAAAACCCACTGTGTCTCGGTCACCCATGTTTTCCCGCGCTTTAGGCAGTTTGCGCGGGAAAACGCGGAGTTTTCTATAGGCTGCTCTTGACATTTGTCTTTTATCTGATTGTTCATTGTAATAACTTTGGTTTTGTTTTTACCGTATGCGACACGTAAAGCGCACCAATCAGTTTCAATGTGGTAGTAGTAGAGTTTCCAATATCTTCAAATTAAACCGGTCTCGCGTTTTAACCTTTGTAGACGCTGAACTTTGTGGAATACATGCTTAGTTGCAAGGAAAAGCTCACCAAGAAGAACAAAATTGGAGCCTCTTTTACTGATGATGGCTTTGTAATGGGTGAGCTTACTGACCTATTCTGTGCTTCCGTTATTGGTGATACTAACAGTGCGCAGGACGGTTTTTTCTCCTTTTTTCGCTCTTTGATTGGCGGAGAAAACTAAGGTCATCCTCTCAGCCAATCAGATGCAAAACTGAAACCGGTTGCCTTGGTGATGCCCTTGATGCTCGGGAGCTTGCTGCCCTCCTGTGTAGCTACCTTAACTGCCCTGAAAACTGTTGATGAAATTTTTCATAACCAAATTACTTTTTCTTGCAGGGGTAGCGTATATCTTAAAGTTACTTGACCAGTACAAGGAGTTTGATTCTCTGCACTGGTTCCAGTCAGTGCAAGACAAATACGAGAAAGAAAAGGTGAGTAAAAACACTTTTTAAACAGCAGTTTGAAAACATATTTATTTGTCCTTGTTTGCGAGAAGCTTCGTGCCTACAGTCGATAGGGCAGCCCAGTGGTTAGCGCGGTGGATTCTGGATGGAGGGGTCTGGGTTTGAGCCCTGGCTGAGTCATTGTGTTGTGATCTTCC